TTTTGTTTTTATCCTGAATTATCAAAAGCTGCTGGGGAAGCAGGAGAAGAGTCAAGATAATGATACTTCTCCATCCATGCAATACAAAATCTGAAAATCTACTTTAAGGCCCACACAGTGAACAGTGGCCACAGCTTCATTAGATCACAAGCACGGGATAAAAAACATCACATCACTGGTTTAATATGAAAGATTTAAAAGGGAAGAGATCAGACAGAATGTTTCTGTTCACTGAGATACTAATTTTATCATTTGAATTACAGGACATGATTCACTGCTGAGGGAAATCTTTCTTTTGTTTGACACCCTTCACTTTGCCATGCAAAGAATACAATTTCTGCACTTTTTTCAGCTGTCAATAGCCTCCAGTGAAAAATGTACTGTATATTTATTCCTTGCAGGAAGACTGCACCTTCAAAATTGCATTTTCAGGCAGTGAAATTTCATTTCTTTGTACATGAATTTTTAAAGCCCTGAAGTTAGACAAGAATGAAACATCCCATAGATGTATTAACACTGACGAGTTCAGAGAACATTGTGAAGCTCTTTTACAGCAACAAAGTTTTACCAAAGTTAAGTTTGCACTCCTGAGCTTGGAGCTTAGTTTCAAAGCTTCAGTTCCTGAAGAACAGAGTCGGTTCACATTCTGGTATTTCTCCTGCCCTAAGACAGGATTTTCACAGCTATATACCAGTTACATATGGAAATATGAATAAGAAATACTAAAAGTAAGTAATTATGTGATGTTACATGTAGATTATCTCACTTAAGAATCTAGGACTTCAGCTATAACTCCTGATTGCCTTTTTGTCTGAGTGATTTAGTGCCAAATTTGAGTTCAGCAATCAGATTTTAAAAAAAAAAAAAAAAAAGCAAAGCAGCACTATTGAGAACACTTTCCCACTGGACAGGACAAAGGCCCTAGCTTAGAACATCTCCTGTTGCCAACAACCCTAATGTTCTCACTTTTCTAGAAGTAAATTCCAATACTACCTACCTTTAACCATGGAAGACCTGGAAATTACATGTCTTAAATATCTACAAGGAAATGAGTAGTTTTCATGGTTTTTACTGAGACATGGATAATTCCAAATACTGCAGAGAATCTTACTGACTAACCATTGAGAACATTTAATGTTCCAGTAAGAAAAATGGGAAGTATTAATAGAACATATCAAGAGAAATAAGGACTGCACACAATTCTCCTGCTGTGTGATATGCTGCCTGCAGGAACATCACACCCCAGACTTCACCATTTTCCTATTGCCAGCAAAGGGACAAGGAGGTTCTGAGCATTTCTTATTGTGCCATAGAGGCTCACTTGATGTTAACATTCTTCTCCCACAAAGGCTTTTATCACATAATAACCCTTCTGCTTTTGTACTCTGCAAATAGAAAAAATTCAACAAAATTCTCTGTCCCCCACCCAGATAAATCTCAGGGGGAAAAAAAAAAAAAAAGTGATTGGGATGAACTCAACTGTATCAGTGAAAGCATAATAATAATAATAATAATAGCAAACAAATAATTAAACCATCAAATGAGAAAATTCATTATATTGGCATCAGAATTAGATACTGCATAGTAAATGAGATTGAGAAACATTACATGCACTGTAATGCATGGCAGAGATGAAATACTAAACATCTGCTATTAAGAAGACCACCGACTTCATCTTGTGCAATGGGAGAGCTGAGGTTCCTAGAATCATAAATGTATGACCATGCAACTAAGCACTGCATCACAATCTTTAGCACTGCATCACAATCTTTACACATCACTCAACCATGGTCAGTTACAATACTAGAGACAACCTTAACTCTTCCAGCATTTGAATTTTCCATTTGCCACCTTTCCATATTTCTCATGCAGATTTCATGCTGAGTTTGGAGGGCAGGAACATGTATTAATATAACTAAACTTCTGCTACATTCCCCACTGCACGTAAGGCTGGTCAAAGAGAAGCTTCACCAGACACTTCCCCCTTTCACTCTGAGAACTGAGTATACAATAGCTCCTGAAGCAGTTCATGCTCCATCTAAAGCATCTCCTAAATTCAAACCTATCTTCTGTCTTGAAACCAAGCCATTAGGGCAGAGGAGAAGCCCACCATTGTGAGAACAGCTTTGAGCTCTTGATACTTTTCAGTATGGGTTCAGCAATGCCAAATCTCTAAAGCATGTGTAAGATTTGCAGGAAGCAAAACTACAGTCATTGTCTCACTAGCAGACAAGACAGGTAAAGTGTTAATTACAGAGCACGTACTAGGGCTCTCTCAGGCCTGTGTTCTACCACAGTAGTGGAAATAATTAATTATGTAAATAACTAATTATGGATCATTACAGGAAGAAAGAAATTAGCTTTCACTGCTGAGGTGTGAAGGTGTATAACACAAACAAGGTAATCTGTTTATTAGGCAGTATTCCACCCAAGAGCACTGGAAACAAGATGGCTGTTCTAGTACTGCAAGCTGATAGTACTTGGTGTTAGTAAGGTGGCAGGGATATTAGCTATGCACAACCTTACCAATGGGGCACTGGCAACAGACACTGACCTACCTAGCACAGGGGCACTGAAGAGCCTCTCAGCAGTCTTGCCTGTGTGTGGCACCTCTCACCAGAGACAGCTGTGGCAGGGCCCAAAAGATCTGTGAGGTAGTAGTGTTGAGATCAAGCCCAGATCAGATCAGAAAGCAAGCTGCATACACACACCTTGGTGTAGAAGAAAGCTGGAATACCCCAGTTAAATTTTTTCAAACCATTTTTAGTATCAGATAATGGACTTCAATATTGGGTAGGAGCTGGCAGACAACTAGTTGACCAGTTATTTCAAAACATCCTGTCCAAATGTCATGCTTCACATCCTTCATTTCCAAAAGAAGATGTTGCATATTTTTTATGAAAATACATATGATTACTGCACAATCCACTCTACCCTTTCCCTAAAGCATTTCTGTGCATAGCTGCCATGCTGGCCTGAATGCCTATGTATCTCAGTTTAACAGATTGGATTTAAAACCTGAAGTTAGCACATGCTGGAACATATCTGTGGTAGCTGTCATCATTCCTTTCCAGCTCTGCCATAGCTCCCACATTTCCTGAAGTCCTAAACAAGACTGCATTCATCATGTGTTGAAGAGACAAGGCAAAAAGTCCAAAATAACAAACCTGATGAGCCTGTCTTTTCTGCAGACCTCACCTATAGCCATATCAACTGATCAGACAATCCATGATACCTTGGCTTGTTTCCCTGACATCCTGAAGCTGCACTAAGGGAGTAACTTTGTGACTGAGTTCATGACCTAGGACACCTTCAAACTTGTATTCTGCATAATAATTTGTTCCTATTCACTTACTCAACACTCTTTTATGTAAAAAATGAGCAAAAATCATTGGGGAGATCAATAATACTGAAAACTTTTTGGGTTAAATACAGACCAGACAGAATGTCTGTTTTGGTTTTCTCCTTCCCTATGTTTCTGCTTTTACTGGAGTTGGCTAAAAAATTAAGGTGATTTCTAAATAAACAAGCAATGGAGGAAATAATCCAGCCCTTTTTTTTTTCCTATTTTTTCAACACTTGTTTCACATTTCCAGTGACCAATTTCAAATACTTAAAGACAGTCTTGTATATCATCAAAACCATCCCTTTCTTAGGTCAAAGTAATCTCTTGTCTTTCATGGAACTCTGAAATTAAAAAAAAAACAAACCAACAAACAACAACAACAACAAAAAAAACCAAACAAACCAACAGCTCCTTTATATAGCTTTATCCATCTTTTCTGATTCTGCAGAAAACAACTTCATCTTTCAAATGCATTTTACCTGGGATTATCTGCAGGAGAAAGAAAACCATAGGAAAAATAGCTCCCATGTTTTTACAATGCAGGACTTCCTGTTGCTAATCTTAAAGGTAACATACCACATCACTAGAAAAGCTACAATCCAGAGGTCTGACTGAGGTTGAATAACATTCCTCGAAGTATCCCTGTTCACTGTCTCTGCAGAGACAATCCTTTGACATATCAATCAGGAATCAATGCATTTCCAAGAGACTTCACCACCCAATACTCAGTCTGACTCAGCAAAATCTGGACTGCTGACAGTATTCCAAAGAAATCCCTGTTGGCTGGATGTTTCATCCAGGCTCAGACTGCATGCACCCTACTCACGGATGTGTGAATTCTAGTCTAGATCACCTTGGACTTGTAACAAAGGGCATGTCAGACGTCTTAAATGCTTTTACAACAGTTTGTCCAACAGCAAGAAAAATGCAACCCCCCCATCTACCTCTGAGAACTCTTCAGTGGTCTAGCAGAAGACAGTGACCAGTGAAAACAGGGCATTAGCCCTTCTACCTGCAACTCAGAAATTAATTACTCTGTTTTTTTCACTCATGTCTAATGCTGACATGTCATTGCTTAGAAACAGTTCCACCTATAAACATACATTAAACATATAGTGCACACATTGATATGTTTATATTAATATATTATACTATCTAGATATATATTAATTAAATACATTATAAAAATAAAAAAAAATTGACCAGGTAGGGGTTCTGAATCTGTCTGTCTGGTACTAATACCCTCTTTTAAATGATTGTATGAATACCTTTCTCTGGCAGTGTCACGGGTAGACAATTCCCTGTAAATACTTTCTTTTCTAGAATCATAATCCCCAATTTCTTAAATTGCAGAACAATTCTTGATACTTCTTAAAATAATATTAAAATAATGAATGTGAACATTTAACAGATTATGAGAAAACCAGACATTTTTTCCCCTCATCTTTATGCTCTAGTTCAACTTTGCCAGGGCTTTTCTGTGTGGGAGGTACATTTAAACAGGGACAGAGGTTAAGTGACAGTGAACAATGTGATAAAATAATTACCTGGGTCTATCCAGGTGCTCAGGGAACTGCTCATAAATCAGCTGAAAACACTGCTTCTACATAAGCTTTATGGGTTGCCCAGTGTGCGCTGAAAGTCAGATCCCTACCTTGTCTCTAATCCCCTGTCTCATAACTTCTCTTTCAGCCTCCATCTTGGCATATTTGGCTTTCCTCTCTTCCTCTTCTTGCCTGAGGGCCTCCTGTCGTTCCTCTTCTTTCTTGACAGCATCTGGGTCTTTCTCCTCATCCCCACCCAAAATCTTCCCCATGTCTTTGGTAGCCCCTAGAGAAAGCACAAGAGAAGGTCAGACCTGTAAGAATGTGGGAAAACCACCATGATGCCAGCTCTCTCCTTCCCCACACTCATGACCTCCTTCTACTCCCTCTGCATCTGGAAAGGTTTCTTCTTCCACTGAGAAGGAGACACATTCCCTACAGAGTCAGGAGGTATGCAAACCACCCAGTCTGACTGAGTGGGTTACCCAGCACTGGTGGGAAAAGCACGGTGGCAAGAGGAAGAGAATACGTCTGCATGAGGGCAACACAATTGGTTTGCAGTCCTTCAGGGAGTAAGATGCTGTCCACACAGTGTTTTCACTCCATCAGCTCAGTCAAGTCACTGAAGATTGTTTTGTGAGGGTTTTTAATGTAACAAACAGGTGGTACATCCAGGAAGTAATTACACCAGGGCTAGGAAAGGAATTTGAAATCTCAGTTGCAGAGATGAGTAATCACAGTCTTAATTGTTTCCAGAAATTACATATCCTATGATAGGTATGAGCACAGAGCATGAGAAAACATTTGGAGTTGCTGATGATTTCTAGGCTCCTGCCACATATCAAAAAGAAATAGCATCTCTGAATGTCTCCTATTTACCCTTGGACACCACTGTCTCTAATGCTTAGTAAATAGATGGGATCCTTACTCTGCTTGATACTCTTTCTACCCATGCATGCATACTGATCACAAATTTTCAGCCCTTGTGTGCTCCTGAGGCAGCTTTTTGTTATTGTGCAAAGCCCTTGCAAAACCATGCAAATTGGAAGGCTTCTTGCATGCCCCTCTGTCCCCACAGGGCTGCCATTTACCCGGTATTTCAGGCACTTTTACTGTCAAATACTAGCAATCATTCCGCTGGGGAGGACAGAATGTGCTGGGGAAAGGGGGAGAGCATTTACTATGATAAGTCATCATCGGGGCACTGGAGGTCTGCAGCAAGATAAAGCTGACGGATGAAGTGAAGACACGTATCCTTTGGAAGTTGTGTTGGACTTTGCCTGAAGCAGGAAAACACCCTGCATCATTTACTAAAAGGTACCTTCACCCTGGAAGAACACTGTAGGTGGCTGGTTACTGCTCCTAGTTCCCGGGTCAGGACAGTTCCAGATTGGCTTCTTGCAGGCTGAGATTTAACTGAGCTAATCTGAGACAGCCTTGTAACAGACACTCACATGCACATACATGTATACATATTTAACATCTTTTGCCTTGCATAAGGCAATGTTATCTGGCCTTTTCAAAGCCTTAGACTGTAAGGACACACTGTCAAAGTCCTTTCAAATAATAGTTTGTGGCATTATTAGAGGCTAAGTGAGGGAAGAGGCCTTCACAACACTCTATCCCTCCTTTATAAATTACCTATTCAGCCTGTCAATAGTGCTGAAGGACTGTGTTTGTTCTTGCTTTCCATGTTAGTTCTTGGGATGGCGATGGTGGAACCTTGGTTTTTAGAGGGAGAAACATCTGCAACCTGTCTGCAACCTGTCAGGATGATTTCTCCTGAATTGTCCCAGAGATGGCAGTTATTAGATTAACTACTGCCTCTAACAACAACCAATGAATTTGTTGAGAGGTGAGGAGATACTGTTTTTTCCTCTCCACGTTTCTTTTCCAGGTCACATGTTTTCCCAAAGCCCTAAATTGAAAGCAGCCCTGAATCAAAAACAACCCTCCAATCCTCCAAAATGTGACAGAAAAATGGCCTCTTTACACATCCCATAGAGAAACACAGGGAAACTGACCATTTTAAGTCTGACAATATCTGGTTGTTGTAGATGGGTTTTTACCAGACAGGAAATAATAACAGTAAACATCACTGTCTCCATAAGCTAACCACAAGCCTCTTGACAATTCCATCCTATTGTCAAGATGAAGACATCCAGGGAACTCAAACAAACCCCAGCTGGAATGTTCATGGTCCCCAGCTACTGTCAATCTTCCTCTACTGCTGTTTTCCATCCTCCACTGCAGGGCCAGAGTAATACAGGAACTCTTGCATTTTGAGGGTAAGACCATCTGGTGAATTCTTTCCTGGGATGCAAGGAAAGCTAACTTAAATTGCAAGCAAGCTAGAATTTCATAGGAATTAGAAAGGCAATGAAGAGTAATTGGGTCACACATTCTCCCTAAGCAGTCCTAATGTGCATAAATCATCTATGACTGTCCTGGGTTTAGCTGGGATAGAGTTAATTACCGCAAGAAGATGGGAAAGGACACAGCCAGGACAGTTGACCTGAACTAGCCAAGGGGATATTTGATACCATATAATGTCATGGTCAGTATATAGCTAGGGGCGCTTGCCAGCAGGTGGAGGGATCATGGCTCTGAACAGACTGAGCATTGGGCTCCAGGCGGTGAGCAACTGCATTGTGCATCACTTACTTTATATATTCTTTTATTAGTACTACTGTTATTATTACTTCCTCTTTCCTTGTGTTGTTGTAGTAATCTATCCTTTTCTCAAGGCACAAGGTTTTACTTTCCTCTTCCAATTCTTCTCATCCCAGAGTGAGTGAGCAGCCACATGGTGCTTAGTTGCCAGCTGGGCTTAAACCATGACAATGACCAAAGCCAGTAACCAAATCCTTGATTTCTGGATTCCCCTCAACAAATATTTCCACTGATGATCAAACTTATTCGGGTTCAATAATCTATCAAGTTTAGATCTTCTTAGCTTCTGTCCACTTAGTGCTACCCAGACAGTGTAATACACTAGTTAGTTACAAAACAGAATTCAGTACTAGAAAAAGATTTTTTTTTTCCCCCCTCAAAACACTACCTCTACGACAGCATTAAGCTATAATATCAGCTCAGCTCATCACGTAGGGAATGAAGTTGTGCAGACTTTCTTTCATCTCTTAGACAAGACCAAGATTTTGAATATTTTAGGCATTTGATTTTGCAACTATTAAGCACACGGGACACCTACGAGAACAAGAATGTAGCTTCAGACTCCCTTATTTCACCCCTGAATTCAAAGTCACTTTCTAAATGTGTGGAATGCTGCACTGTGGTATCACTATTAACTGATTGAAAGGAAATGTATTATGAGAAGCAGTTTTACACTACATTTTAACTCTTGACTCTTGTGTAACTTTTAGTATAGAAAAGCTTTTTTTTCCTCTCATTTCTTCTTCATCCTGAAATTTAGGCTTTGTTGTTAACATTCTCTGGGGTATCAGTTTTTCGTTTTAGCAGTTCTGCAGTGGAGGTTCCAGAGAATTAATTTGCATGCAACTGAGATGCTGCAGTTACAGGCATAAGCAGAAGGAAAGTGCAGAAGTTCTGTCCTCAAACCTGCTTTTGAAGATTCCAAGGAAACAGCAGGGAAGGACACAATTACTGGATATGTTCATGTAATAAGCCTGGGTCTTTTTGTCTTCTTTCACATCCCAAGCATAACATCTGCCTTGAGATAGAGAACAGAGAGAATGCCAAAGTAATCAGTAAGGAGCTTCAAGCAACATTATTTCCAATATCTCTAGACAAGGACACAGGAAGAATGTAGAAATGGCTAAAGCTCCAGAAGAACGTGTGCAAACTGTCACCTTTCTGGCTATAATAAAAAACTTCCATGAGAGAAAGATCTCAAAGGTGGTTTGTTTAGAAGACAAGTGGCATGGCAGGCATTCCAAACTAATCATAATTCCTTTGATCCATACAGGCTAAAGAACTAGGCAATCAGGCATTAAGACAAATAGTATGAGTGCACTCAGATACACTGGTTTAAGTTGTCATCAGCCATCTGAAAAACACTAATTCGGTTGTTTGAGAACATGTGGGAGACATTCCCTGGTGAAACATCTAGAAAGCAGGTCAGCTGTCTGGAAAGCAGTTTTGCAGTAAAGGTGTCGGAGAAGACAGCATGCTGACTATAAAGGAGCAGTATGTCCTTGCAGCAAAGAAGGTCAACAGCCTCCTGGGCTGCATTAGGAGTATTTGTCAGCAGACTGAAGGATCCTTCCCTTCTACTCAGCCCTGGTGATATCAGATTTGGAGTTATGTGGCCAGTTCTGGACTCCCAGATACAAGAGAGAGATGGAGATACTGGTGTAAGACAGCAAAGGGCCATGAAGGTTGTTAGGACACTCAAGGATCTCTTACATGAGGAGAGGCTGAGAGAGATGCAAATGTTTAGCCTGGAGAAGAGAAGGTTTGGGGGGGTCTCAGTGGTGTGTGTAAATACCTCATGAAAAGGCATGAGTAAGAGGAAGCCAGACTCTTCTCACTAGTGAGAAGAGATAATGTGTACAAACTGAAATTCAGGAAATCTCATTTAAACATAAGGAAAAAAAATGGGGCCGTAGAAAGGCTTTAGAGTCTCTGTCTGTGAAGATATTCAAAACTTTATAGGCCACACTCTTGAGAAATCTGCTGTACGTCACCTTGTTTGAGAACGGAATTGGATTAGACAACTGATGTGGATCTCTACCAACCTCAGATATTCTGTGATTGTGTGAGACCTCAGAAGTAAGTGGTTTCAATGGCAACTGAAAATGACTGAAACAAATTTTGTAAGGAAAATGGTAAGAGCACAAATCCAAACAGATCCTGTATCTGAACTGGAGGAAAGTAAATTCTTAAAGTGACTGGTGTTTGTCATAGGAGCAGCATATCCTATGACTTAACCCCACAATAGCCGACTGAGATCAATGCAGCTTTCACATAGAAACACTAAAGTCAGAGAATCAACTTGCAGGAGAAGTGGTCAATTTTTAATAATGGAAAGGATGAGAGGGGAAGGGAAGGGAAGCTGTCTCTTATACAGAAGGGAAGGGAAGGGAAGGGAAGGGAAGGGAAGGGAAGGGAAAAGTCACTGGTAAATGTAATACTCCTGTTAACTGGAAACAGACTGTCTGGAAAAGTGATGAGCTCACCTAAGAAGGTCCTACAGGGGAGATTCTGGTGCTACCTGTTACAGAACTGCTGTATGCACTTCGGGAGATACCACCATTTCTCCTTCTAAGAAATTTTGTTCATCTTCCCTGTCTGCATTGTTAACCC